TATATATCCTGAGCAACTTGAAAATACCTTCAAACAATGATTTCACAGGAAAATAGGGGGGCTAAGTTGAACAGGGGTAGCTTCATAGTGTAAATCATGAGCAGACAGACCTTTCTGTGGCTAGTGTCCCAGGTGCCTCAAAAGCAAAGGTGGGGGGGTCCAGGGAGCAGGGTGTTCAGGCCATGCAAGATCCTGCTGGCCCAAAGGGACCAGGTAGTCTGCCTCCTGCACCCCTAGGCTGCATGCCACTGTGGGTGGGGGCTTTGGGGGAGCTCTTCCTGCACTCTAGGGCACACCATGTGGCTCACCTCCTTCCTCAGGTGACCAGCTCCTGCAAGTGGATGGAGTGAGTTTGTGTGGTCTCACCCACAGGCAAGCTGTGCAGTACCTCAAGGGTCCTGGGCAGGTGAGTGCACCCACCCCCAGGGCTCTTTCCCTTTCTTCTGGAATTTTTTTGGACAGCAGCAGAGGTTGAAGTTGCCTCTGGGTTGGGGAGAGGCAGCCAGGAAATAAAACATGATTTTTTTTTTTTTTGGTCTATTTTTGTCACTTAGCACTGCTTTTCTATAGAGCTGTGAAACCCAGGAGACAGCAGACAGATGTTTCCAAGCAGAAAAGCTCTCCTATAAATAGCCTTGGAGAGCTCATGGTCCTTGCCTAGACGTAGGAATCAGACAGTGGAACAGAGCTTGGAAAGCAGAGCGGTTTTTCCATCCCGGCTCCTGCAGTGCCGTGCCATGCTCATGCCACCCTGGTGAACAGTGAGTTCTGGCTCTTAGGGGCTCTCTCCCCTGACTTTTGCCCATGGAGCTCCTCACCCTGAATTCCTGCTGTTCCCATCACCCTGTCACCCTGGCTGCCTTGGAAGTCTCTTCATCACCACTGAGTAGCAAATCAGGAGCCCATGAGCTGAGGACGTACATCCACCATGTGCCCCCCACTCCATGCAGTGCCCACATAGCAGCTCTGTGTAGTCAGCAATATTCTGTCCTGTGGTGGGCATGGATACTGCACCCAAGGAGGGCTGGCACTGCCCTCTCCTGGTATCTGAGGAGTCCACAGAGACAGGATTTCTGAAGTCCTTCCAACCAGTGGCTGGCTGGGCAAGTTCTGCTAACTTGTTACTTCCTTTCCCAAAGGAGGCTTCTGTTCATGATCAAGTGCTCTTGTCCTGGCAGCCTTGGCTGGCATACCTCCAGTAATGCCATCATTCACTAGTACCTTCTGCTCTTCAGACCCTTGCCTATGAACACGATTAGAGAGGCTACATGGCTGTCCTAGTGGCATAGCAACAACTGGGAGTAATCACTGTGGGGTCACAGACCTGGTGTTAAATGACACTGGCCACAGAAGAGTGGATGCCAGCTGCTGGATTGAAAGCTTGACATTTCTAACCAGCTGCCAAGAGAAGTCTGACCTTGGTTCCTTAGCCACTTTGGGTAACAAGATTATAGGTTGTTGTGGGGAAGAAAGATGGGAAGTCAAAGAAGACAGAAGAGGGGCAGTACAGGCTGGCATACACCTGGGATGCTGTCCTGTGAGGTTTGAGACATTAGAGGCTTTTAACCAAGAGTGCTCCATCTTTAGCTGCAGCCATACCGGTTGGACCAAAGGAAATAAAGGAAGGGTCTGGCAAGCCAGGCCCAGGAGCTTGCTGGAGACCAACTGGGCACTGCCACTGGGGAGGGACTAGATGAAGAGCACAGGGGTAGTTGTTCCAGGTGGAAGCTCACAAGTCTTAAACCAGATGGGAATTTGGGGGGCAGAAGGGGCAACTCTGGATCCCTCCACATGTGTCCCAAGGGGCTCACTGGGGGAAATGGTGCCTGTTTTGAGGGTGCAGATGCAGTGGGCAGACTGAGGCAGAATGAGGAAAGGGAAGAGCCTGAGTTTGGCACTGTGTGAGCCCTGGGTGGGGGGCCAGGCATGACTCCCAAGTGCTTGTGTCCAGTGGAAAGGTGGCAGTGCCACTTAGATCCCACAAAGCCTAGACTGAAGATTGTGATTTCAGAGTCCATTGAATCACCTTATAGGAAATATTAAAAAGAGGGAGAAGCCTTCGCAGAGGGGAGAAAGTAGTGCCTGGTTGTCATCCAGAGTGTAAATTGAGTGTGTCTACCCATCCTTCTAGGTTGTAAGACTGGTCTTGGAGAGAAGAAGCCCAGGCACAGCACAGCAGCATCCTTCTGCTAATGACAGGATGGGAGATGAACACGAGGCGGTTTCCTTGGTAACAGCTCTGCCTGGCAGGCTTTCGAGCTGTGTCTCAGTGACAGATGGTGAGACGGGAGAGAATGGGGTGTTACTATTGTCGTGTCATTGTGTGCTGCTTTTGAGTTGTCAAGTCAAAGGGAAAAGGCAAGAAGTCTTTCTTTTTGTTCTCAAAAAAAAAAAAAAAAAAAAGAAAGAAAGAAAAGAAAAAGAAGACAAATAAAGGCGAGTAGTGCTGATTATGATCACAAGCCAAGCGGATGGTATACATTTCTGAAGCAAATGCATTGTTCCAAAATGATTACCAGGCATAATTCTGCCCCAGCCTTCCTCAGTCTTCTGATCAGCTGCCCAAATGTTAATGCTTGAGAAATATTCAAAGATGAAATTGGCATGAAGGGGGCACACATTTTCAGATACACTTGGTTCCACATACCTGCCAGGCCTTTGTGATAGAGTTACCTGAACACTGATCATGCAGGTGAAAGACAGAGGTGTTCAGAATCCTAGCCTTGTTATTAGCACCACGTTACAAAGCAAGCGCATGCTCCGTTTAGGGGCCTGGTTACGCTAATTGCACATCTTCTAGCGGAACAGATCCTTGCACATCTGTTGTGATTTGCTTTCCTGACAGGAAAAGGCTTATTTCCTTAGCATGTCACGATTTGGATTTTAGCCCACTGCCAAGCCCTTTCTCTGCAGTCCTGCTGCACAGACATGGGACATGTTGGAGGCAAGATGGCCTCAGGGTAGGCGGTGGTGTGGAGGAGGGAACTGCTGATTTTTAATCAAATCTATTTCCTTTTTCATCACTGTGTTCTCCAATGGGCACCTTTGAAAAGTTGACTGCGAACTGAGCCAAGGCAGCCGGGGCAGCAGTGGCAGACAAACCTCTACCCAATCACTCCAGCCTTGCTCCAGTTGAAGTTCAAGAGTTGTGGTTCCACCCCCACATTCATGGTTGCCAGCTGAGTTGGAAAACGTAGACTGGAGGAAACCTAGAAGCTTCTTGGGCTGCCAGATTGCCTGGGTGTCTGGGGTCCTGCTCATCTAGGTTGGCAAACAAACATGGCTGCTATCCCTAGAGCTGGCCATCAGTGTCCCCATGGTCTCATTAGGCAAAATGTAGTGCTGAGCATCATCAGGCACAATTAGGGTTCTACAAGAGCAATGCACATGTGATACAAGTTTCACTTAACTGTTAGGGAGGTGCTGCGCATTCTCACAAGCTGTCTCTCTATTCATTAGTTGGGTATCTATAATTGCACTGCTTAGCATGGTGGCCCTTGTGTGTCACTGTTGCACACTTGAGGTGTGACAATACAATTGAATAGGATTTATAACAGAGGTCAAAGACTTAGTTCATGAAAAGAATGAAAAATATTAGTAATTTTCATATTGATTATATTTTGAAATAAGAATACTTCAGAAGCGCAGATGGTTCCTAACTTAGAACGAGTTGACCTACAGAATTTGTTGGCTTTTTCATGTTGTGAAGCCTGCACACATTTGGTAGAAGCTGGGCTCTGAATTTTGAGTCTTGAACTTTTCCCATCTGGTGATATTTAGTGTGATGCACACTTGAGTTGTTGGGCAGTGCTGGTGAGTCGCAGCCCCAGTCAGCCCCATGATTAGGGTGGGAGAATGATTGATACTCTATCAGCTAAGCTAGGTGATAGAGTAGGTGAGATAATTTAGATGCACTTTCAATTTACAATATTTCCAAAGGACAGTGAGTTTACCAGGATATAACCTTATTATATATTGAGGGATAAATAAAATACACAAATAAAGGTTATTTTCAGGTTTCCTTTTCCTTTTTAAAAATATAGCTATTTGAAAGCTTTGAAATGGTACTTGTGGGTTGTATTTGTAATTGGTTGTATACCTCTTAGGGCAGCACTGATATGGATTAGTAGGCATAATGGACTCTACCACAAAAATGAATAAATGATATAATTCTATGCAAAACAGAAAAATTCACCCCTGTGACAGTCTGCATGTGGAGACCATTCAACGGTATCCTACTGAAGCAGTTATTTTTATCCACACTGCACAATCCAGGTCCTAAGTTTGAAGTCAGGCTGAAAAAGAATGCCAACGGCCTGGGGTTCAGCTTCGTGCAGGTGGAGCGAGCGACCTGCAGTCTCCTTCAGAGTGACCTTGTTAGGATTAAGAGGCTCTTCCCAGGGCAGCCAGCTGAGGAGCATGGGGCCATCGAAGCTGGTGACATCATCCTGGCCGTGAACGGAAGGCCCACAGAGGGCCTCGTCTTCCAGGTGCGGGGCCTGAAAAAGACTGAAGCTCCAGGTGCAGGTGGCCTTCAGCCACTTCCTTTAGTCTTACTTATCCTGGGCTTTTGACATCCAGTCCTGCCTTCTGCCCTGCAGACAGGAATTGGCAGAATGGTCCTGCATTTGTCTGTGCATCAGGGAAGACAGCCTGGACTTGGACCACTGTAGGGGCTCACATCTCCAGGAAGAGGTGTGAGACTTCAGGGCTCAGTGAGGTCCCTTCTGCTCTCCTGCCCATCTTTCTGCTGAATTTATAGCTTCTGTTTAATAGTGTGACACTGATTGTTTTGGTTGTGTGTATTTGTGTGTGTGTGTGTGTGTGTGTGTGTGTGTGTGACAGAGAGACAGAGACAGACAGACACAGACAGACAGACAGATAGACTGACTCACTGATATAAGCCATGTCAGCAACAGAGGGTGCAGGCATTGTGTAGCACCCCACAGAAAGATTGTGAACAGGACCCAGAACCTCCTCCCCTCTCCCACTTCTGGTCCCTGCCTGCCCTGCTCCTCTGGTCAAGCTCAAGGGGATTTCCCACATAGCACCCCTGGAGGTTCCAGGAGCTTAGAGCAGGACCATGGCAGTGGGTGCCCAGAGGCACAGGCTGTGCCTTCCTCTGTCCATGATTTGAGTCACTGCTGGCTGGCAACCTGGGGAGATGGAAGAACACAGGCAGACAGCTCCTGGAGCCTCAGAGTTCAGGATAGGTAAGGACTGCAGAAGAACAGTGTGGTCTTGGGACCCTGTGCTACAGAGCTCACACCAGGGAGCAGGCAAGAGGCTCATCGGTGTTGGTCCTGGTGGTTGTGAGAGTATGGGGCAGCTGGCCCAGCACTTCTCACACAGGGATGCTGCTGCCTCTTGGGGACACTAAGCCAAGTCCAGAGACATCAATGTTTGTCACAACTGATGAGCACTGTAGCATCTTATAGTTAGAGGCCAGAGATAGTGCTAACTGTTCTTCAGTACACAGGACTTTTGTCTCAACAGTTATCCAGCCTGAAATGTCACTAGTGCTGGGCATTGGGAAATACTGGCCCAGGTAGGACACAGGAGCTACCAAGGAGGCATCTCATGCTTTAGGGCATGAGAGGGAGCTTGGAGCAGCTTGGCATGGCAGAGCTTAGGATGTGGGCACAGAGGGGCAGGTGGGCAAGACCAACTTGGTGAGATAGTGGCAGGTGAAAGCAGATTCCAGGCTGACCTCCCAGAGGAAGAGGAAGAAGCAAGGAGAGGAGAGAGGTTCATGGAGGCTGGGGCAGCTGTGAAGGAGGCAGCAGGAGCAGGACTAGGCCTTGTCACAGTTTAGAAGAACCACAACCCTTGGGCAACACTAGGGATGAGGGTCACTGACACTGCAGGGACTGGGGCAGGGGGGAGGCCAGTCAGTTCCATGGGTGGAAGGTTACAGGGCGCTGGTGAGCTGTGAATGGAGACTCAGCCAGTATCAGGGGACCAGGGTAGCAGGGTCATTCCCAATGCAGCCTCTGCATGTCACCTCCATGGGCCCACAGGCTGTTGTCCTTGAACTCCTTGAACTTTGGGAAGCTGGTGGTCTGCAGAGGTTACTGCAACTGAGAAATGGATCAAGGTCAGGAAGAAAGCAGCACCTGGGAGAGTGGGGAGCAGGTGTGTGAGGCTCTAGTGGGGCCAGCCCAGATCTCACCTCAACTCTGGGTTTCTCATAGGAGGTACTTAATCTACTGCGAGGGCCCCCCCAGGAAGTTACACTCCTCCTTTGCCGACCGCCTCCAGGTGTGCTGCCGGAGATGGAGCCAGGGTGGCAGGTAAGATATGGTGCCCACATTTGTAAACTAGGCTCCTGTCTGGAGCCCTGACCCTGTCTGTGGTCCCGAGAAACCCTGGCTGCCGGGAGGGAGGCTCAACATAGCCAAAAGGTAGCTTGCCCCAACTGCAGGGAGTCTCTGCCCTCTCCCTGATTCTTCCCCTTCCTCCAAGGAGCTTAGTCTTTACTCTCTAGGCCTCCAACTGCTTGGATAAGGCCCCACACATCACTGCCCTAAGTTTCTTATTTAAACATTAATCACACCTAAACAGTACCTTCACAGAGATGTCTAGACTGGTGTTTGAGCAAGGGTCTGGGTCCTCTGGCCTTGCCAAGTTGGTACATGGTATTATCCACTGCTATGGCCCTCTGGAGTCTGTGGGAAACAGATATTTTGGCAGGGACTTCAGTTCAGGAAGCTTATAGGCCTGGCCCTCTGGCTATCTCCTGCAATGGTGCTAGAAGCTGGCTGGGCAGAGGAAGAACCAATGTGGTGCAGCCAAAATAGGGGCCTCAGCTAACAACCTAGGGAGCTGTGGAGCTGGGACAGCTCCTTGGGGCATCCTGAATGGCATCCTGCTCTGATCAGCATTGGGCTGCATGGGCCCAAGGCAGGGGCCTAACTTTGGCTGTGGCACCTCCTGGGAGGGCCTGGCTAGGGTGCACTAGGCTCTATGCATGGAAGAGAAGCAACTATTCTTGGTACCATGTAAAACTAAGATGTACATAGGCTGTCTAGAGAAGATGTCTGCATGGGGAATAGTCTTGGAGACAGGGATGGTAAGAGGGAATTAACTGAGAAGTCAGAATGGAGCACCCACCCTTGAGAGATCAGGGACAGAAAAGCAAGATGTGTGGGGTGGAGAGGCAGAGGTGGGGAAGTGGTAGGGAGCCAGCACACTCTAGGGAAGCAGAAAAGGAGGGTACAAGACTCTGGAGCAGGCTAGTGGGATTGCTTAGCTGCATGTAGCTGAGCAGTGCTGTGAGCTTTATGAGGACAGAGAATTGCTCTTTGTCTTGAGGATGACATGGGTCAATGGAGACTCTGATTAGAGCCTTTCATGGGTGTTTTAGGGGGTTGGAAGCCTCACTTCTGAAGTGCAGGATAGAAGTGGAACACATGGTAGTAGTGAGAGCTCACCCTCTTCTAAGGGGCTGGCTGGTAAGTAGAGCACTATGTAGTCCAGGATGCAGACTGAACTGGAGGAATTGGCATGGGGAGGTGGGGGATTCTTATCTAAGGTGTCCATTTTTCCTGTGCAATCAGAAGAAAGGTGAAGAGAGTGTCAGAAACTTGAGAGATCTGAGAAATCACAGAGTAGGAAGGCAGGGAAGCGTGTTTTCTAAAGGCTCAGGAAGATCGTCTGGAAGCCTTGCAGGTCATTGATCACCCACACTTGTACAATGAACCTGGGCATAGATGGAGACTCAGATTTGGTGTAAGGTCCACAGCTGGGCTCACTGGGACCCAGGATCAACACCTGGCACCTGCAGGAGGCAGGTGGAAGCAGAGAAGGAAGCACGGAGGAGCTGGAGGTCAGCTTTCTTTGTAGGGGAGCAACTGTGGGGTGAAATCACCAAATCCATAGGGTCACAGGAACCCAAGGATGTACATGGGAAGAAAGGGGGTGACGAAAAAGCAGCAGGTGGAGGACTGGAAGCTCTCAGAATGGAGGGACTGCTGTGAGCCACAGAGCTGGAGCATACAGAGGAAGATTTCAGTGGTCTTTCTCACCAAAGAACCATGGGATACAGCTCTTTCTCTACTTTTTATTTTAAAAACCATTTATTTATTTATTTA